TGCCTCGCTCAGCCAGTGAGCGGGAACCGGTCTGTATGTGGGATCCGAACCCTCGGGCGGGAGCGCCGCCGCGCTTCTCAAGCGGCGCACTTATCCAGTGTGCCACCGGGCCGGCCCCTTTTCATCACTTTCTAATTTCTTTATATCTTATATTTTATCTTTCTTTCACTATATCAAGTTGCCCTCCCAGAGATTCCATTTAAAACAAAAAAAGAAGGGGTTAACTGTGTATGTTTGGAAGATAACTATTTCCTTTCCTGTTTTTTAAAGAATTTCTTTTCTGCATTTGAGTTTGATGGCATCAAAGCTGTCATCATTACCACTTTGCTCTGTAAGGCCATGTGACTGAAGTTATAAGTTAATAAATATGCATTTCCTCACCTTGCCATCTCTTTTCTCTGATTCAGATAGGTCCATAAGAGATCTACCTTCAAACTTCCAAAGTTCAGAGATCTTCCTGAAAGTTTTATTCTCAAAATTGTTGACAGTGATTACCCTATAGTGATTATATAAATTAGAAATATGTGGATCTTTTTAAAAAAAATAATCAAATATTTATTCTATTCATTATAAATCCTGAAACAAAAATGAAAGAAGTTGTCAAAATACATTTCCAGCAGCATTACTTATAAAAGTCTTACAGAGTCACAAAAGACAAGTTTCTTTTTAAAAATGTAAATAATTCTTACCTCATAATAGGAAGTTAGGAAAAGTCTTTTACACTTATTACTCAGTGATATTTTGCCACCTGTTTGTGAATAAGCACATTTTACATCCCAACTTTAACATACACACACGGGACGGATTAAAACATTGAATCCCATTCTGCTACCAGAAGGATAATGGTTAGAAATCAGAAGTTGGGGAGGAAATAAAGCCCTTAGTAACTAAGTTTTGTAAGTCAGCTTAAATTCTTTATGGAATAAGGGAAGACATAAATAAATAAATAGTTCTTTTATGTGACTGGAAGAATGAGTCTTTCCTAAATATGAACTTCTCTTTTGCCCATCTTTAGAGGATTGGTGGTCATGAGAGGAGAGTTTGACCATTTCAAATATCAGTCCAAGTAAATATTGCCTCATTTACTTAAAAAGACTGAGTATAAAAGTAAATGGCTTTGCTTTAGTTCATTTTTCCTGATGGTTATTTTTTCTGTTATTTGAAATCAGTTAGAATTATTCCCAGTATTGCTCATGAAAATTATATTTTAAAATCTTATTTTAATTGTTTTTTTCTCAATGATTTATAGATGAAACCAGCCTGTATAAAAGCACTTACCCGTATATTTAAAATATCTGATCAAGATAATGATGGTACTCTCAATGATGCTGAACTCAACTTCTTTCAGGTAGCTAGCTGTCTTTTATTTTAGACATTTGCATACTGTCTTTCTTTACTGATAAAAGCTATAAAAAATTATTAGCTTAAACAACATTATCTTTCACATCAAGCTACTTAAGCCTTTACTTAGAGTATAAAACTCTCTTATGCTTAGGGAATGAGAGGACTCTGATAGTTTCATTTCATGGTATACAGTGGGCCTATTAAGGATGACTCGAAGTCCGAACTCTGAATTGTTTTGCTTTCTTGGTTTTGTCTGTCATAGCTGCACAAACAGCCCTGTATTTTTGAAACAGAATGAGGGGAATTGGGAAAGTTTCTTGTCCTCTAAATACAACACATTTTACTTAGTAAAAAGTGGAGACTATCCTAATTTAGAATTTGTTTCTTTTGGTTACAACTTTTTAATTTAATGTTGCTTTGTGGATTATTGTTTTATATTATTGGTGGTTTTAAAGCTGGTTTATTTTAAAATTATTTTTATAATTTTTTTGCTAGAGAATTTGTTTCAACACTCCATTAGCTCCTCAAGCTCTGGAAGATGTCAAGAACGTAGTCAGAAAACATATAAGTGATGGCGTAGCTGACAGTGGATTGACACTGAAAGGTGGGTGAATGGTGTTTTTCTTCCTTTTGAACTTAATATTTTCAAAATTTGGCAGAAGATGATGAAAAAGAAGTCTTTATAGCATTATTTATATTTTAAGGAAATGTTAGTATGCCTAAAATCTGACTTGGATATTTAGGAGTTGGAGGCAACAGGCCATTGTTGGGGATATCATCCTTACTGTCAGTATAAGTTAGGGATAGGGAAATTGGTTGGATCTCAGGGATGTAGAGGTCAGTCTGAGGGAAAGAGATATCGGGAAAAACAAATTTATCTTAAAATTTTTCCTACTCATAAACTGCCTTTAAATAGAAATTATTTTTAGGGAATTTTGTCTGTGAATCAGATTTACCAAATATAAAATGTTCCCTGTAGAATATACTATAGAGCTACAGTAAAATAAGAAGTGAAATCGAAGACCAGAATTTTCCATTATAGAAATGAGCTCAATGATCTCTAAAACAGTTTCATTTGTGTCTATCATGTAACTTTGTGAACCCAGTGTATTCCCTGGGATATAATTTTGGCACTTTTATCCAGAGCTCTCTCTTGCTTAGCTGGGCGTACTCATAGTGAAATGATTCCAAAATCAGATCTGTTTCATTGAGACACTTGAAAAAACCAGTATACATATGTTCACGAATCTAACTCTTGTCATTATGTGTTATATGCTTTTCTCCAATGTGACTCTGTACCCTTCTCCACATAAACTGTATTTACTAATTTTCTTTATTTCAGGTTTTCTCTTTTTACACACACTTTTTATCCAGAGAGGGAGACATGAGACTACTTGGACTGTGCTTCGACGATTTGGTTACGATGATGATCTGGATTTGACACCTGAATATTTATTTCCCCTGTATGTACCTTTGGTTTTCTAATTGATTTCACTTACAAAGTATTTCTGTTTTGTTTGGTTTGGGTTTTGGTGGCTGGCCGGTATGGGATCCGAAGCCAAGTATTTTTAAGTTTTATTTAGCACGTAGGTAGGTAGGCTTCAAGCTACTCAGGAATAATTTAGAATTATAGCAGGGGTTTATAGCAGGCTTTCTCAGTGTCAGCACTATTGACATTTTGGACCAGATAATTTGTTGTGGAGCCTGCCCTGTGCATTATAGGATATTTAGCACATCCTTAGATGCCACTAACACCTCTGTTTCCAGTTGTGACAACCAAAACTATCTCCAAAATTGCCAAATGTTCACTCAGAAGTAAAATCATCCCCATTTGAGAGCCACTGATTTATATCATAGCTCAGACTTTTCTTTTCATGGAGAATACAGTATCTTTTTAAAATTCATTTTACTGAGAAAGGAGAAAAAAGATGCTAGAAAAACTTGTCTTTGGAATCAAGAGATCAGAAATGTTGATTAGCATTTTCCTATCCTTTAATCAGTTCTTCTCCTCCCTCAGTTTTATAGCCTGTTCTTAGCTTAGGATAAAATAAGTATTTTTCCTAAATAATTGGTCTATTTGTAGTTATTTTCCTTTGATAATACCATGTTTATGTTCTGCTTGTTTAAAAATGGACTCAGGTGCTTGCTGATTAGCTCAGTTGGTTAGAGTATAGCCTTGTAACACTAAGGTCATGGTTCAGATCCCCATACCAGCCAGCTGCCACAAAAAAAAAAAAAAAATGGCCCCAATGGTCCCCCCAAACAGGAGACTGCCTTGCCACAGGATGCCTCTTCTGTACCCCACGGAAACAAGCTTTTCAGGAGTGGTGACTTCTCAAGAAGTCACTTCTGGATCTTGAGAAGTCACTTCTCAAGATCCAGCCTGGGACTCTGTGGCCTTTCTTCTACATTTTTTCAGTGGCATGTCACCTTCATGGTGTCCTTTTCTATTTTAGCATAGCACCTCCAGTTATCTATGAAACAGTTCAGAAAGGCTTTGTTGTTTTTCCCTTCCCCATCACTGAGGAAGCAAAGATCTTTCTGATTAGATTCCTGGTCCATTACTCAGTTCTAAGTTGAAACCTCCCCTGTTTAAGTTACTAAATGTTGGCTGTATTTAATTTCTCAGATTTTTTTTCAATAAATATTTACCAAGTGAATGGATTTCTCCTGGGACCCTTTCATCAAGTTTTCTTTTCTGTGCCATTTGTGTGGGTAGATAAATTCTACAGGAAGTTGCTTATTGCTTTCTTAAGTGTGAGAGTTAGGAAACTCCATCTCTTAAAGCTTTGTGACTTATACTGATCATCTCTTTGAGTTTATTTATTCCCTCTGCCTTTAATTTTCCACAAAATAGCCTCCTAGCGCTACCACTCGAGTTTCTCTAGCCTTGTTATTAAGCTCTCTGCCTTTGTCCTTCGCATTGCTTATAGATTAGTAGATATATAAATACAAATTTGGCCTTGTCACCTCCCTTCAGCTCCTCCCTTCAAGACACAGGATAAAGCCCAAGCTTCTTAACATGGTATACGAGGTCATTCATGATTTGCTGTGCTCATGCTCACCCCCTGCCTTCATTCTAGAAGTAAACACCAAACTATTTATAGTTCACCAGACATATGTTGCTTCCAAAGCCCACGCTGTTTTCACTCTCTCCCTTCCTCTCCCCCAACCTAATTAATGCCTCTTGTCTTTTAAGCCTCATTTCAGGGGACAGTGTCTCCCAGCAGCATTGACACCTTCCCACCCCCAGGCAGGAGATGTTCCCTTTCATGTGGGCTCCCCTCGCATCCTTAGCTTACCCATACTTGGCACTTTCCTCATTCTGTTGAGATCTGTTTGTGGTCCACCTCCCACTTGAACTGGTTCTTTAGAAGTAGGGAGCCTGTCTTGTTTTTATCTCCCTAGTACCTAGCTCAGTGTGTTTGATTAATGTTTATTGAACTGAATTTAGGGTGGGTCAGAAAGTTCAAATCAGGTAAAAATAACATCTCTTCATATCATTTCAACTCATTACAATATTGGCATTAATATAAAACTCATAATTATGACTTAAAATTTGTTTATAGGAAAAGCAAACCCATTACAGTTTAATCAGTTTTATTTGTAAAATTTTTATTTCAACCTGCCCTTCTGATATTTAAGGAGCCTTTGTATGTCACTTTGGAATGAGTATTATTGTGACTCTTCTGAGGAGTGCCATAACCACTCCAGAGATTTTCCCTGGGAAAGTCTAACTGATGCCAGTGAAGATATTTTTGTAAGTGGTGTCATCCCACAAAAAGACTTGTTGCAATTTTACATTCATTTCTTAAATTTTAATGTTTGATTAATGGTTAGTTTTACTATTAAATTTTTTCACCGACAGGCTAAAAATACCTCCTGATTGCACTACTGAATTAAATCATCATGCGTATTTGTTTCTCCAAAGCACCTTTGACAAGCATGATTTGGTAAGCTTTTCACCACAGTTTTCTATGATATATGGTAAAATATTTTTCTGTGAATGATTTAACTCTGTTCTCTTAGTTATGGGTTATGGGATGCTTTTTTGTGCATGTGTCTTGCTGTATGGGGATTCAAACGCTTGACCTTGGTGTTACAAGATTGTGCTCTAACCAACTGAGCTAACCAGCCAGCCTCAGCTATGGGATGCTTATGTCACTTAGCCAAAAATTCACTCTGTTATACTAGCAAAAATATTTTCTGCTACTTACTTTTATTGTTTTCTCAAGATGAAAAAGTCTCGTTTCTGATAGACTCTTTCATAGGTTCTAATATACATGTAAGAAATTTTCTAGATAAAATGTAAATTTCTTGTCATTTGTTAATTATTTTTATTTTTATTTTTTTGAAAAGATGACTGGTAAGGGGGTCTTAACCCTTGACTTGGTGTTGTCAGCACCATGCTCTCCCAAGTGAACTAACCTGCCATCCCTATATAGGATCCAAGCCCTGTGGCCTTGGTGTTATCAGCACCACACTCTCCCAAGTGAGCCACAGGCCAGCCCGTTAATTAGTTTTAGAAGCATAGCTTTACTAGACAAGGGGGCTTGTGTGTTTGGGAATTATTCTCTTAGATATCTGAACATTATGTATACTTCCTTGTGTATTTTCAGGATAGAGACTGTGCTTTGTCACCTGATGAGCTTAAAGATTTATTTAAAGTTTTCCCTTACATACCCTGGGGGCCAGATGTGAATAACACAGTCTGTACGAATGACAGAGGCTGGATAACCTACCAGGGATTCCTTTCCCAGTGGACGTGAGTATAGAGCTCACTTCTTTCCTCTATAGTTTCTACTAGTTTTGCAAGCTTGTTAGATATTATGAAATGCTTCAACCATAACTGCCTCTAGGCAGGATTTATAGTGCTGCTATTTCTAAGATGAACTATAGATTTTCTATACGTTTATCAGAAAGGGATTGTTTTCTTTTGGATGATGCACAGGGAAACAGTAATAAGTCATATCAAAACTGAACTAAATTTTAGTACTTCTTTGATTAAGGGAATTGGAAATGTCTTTGCAATCACACAATCCTTACTCCTTCAAAATATGGGAAGAAACATTTTACTTGGCTGTGAAGACTTATTTTGCATTTTTTTTTTGTTTGTTTTTAATGAACTCTTAGTAAGACTTAGTGAGGATTTGTCTACAACCTACTTATAGTATGGTTGACACTGTGATTAGGGTATTAAGGGAAACCTCTGGTCTTACATGATGACGTAATTGCTTTAGCCTTGGTGAGACTAACTTTCTCAACATTGGGATGTTTTCTTTTTTCAGATACAGTATGTAAGAAAGGCTAATTAGTTATAGGTGCCTTTTAGTTATTTTTGAGACTTTGTCGAACCTTTTCAGATTTGTTTAATTATCATTAAGTCCTCAACAAGCCACTATTTGCAGTTGTATGCTGCATATTAACTTGGGGAGCAGGTAATAAAAAATATCCCTACTCTAGATTGTTATCAGTTTCTCACTGCTCTTTCATGTGGCCTTGCTTTCTCTGGGCAAGTGGAGTAGATAGAGGAATTTGCCTCCCATCTTGCATTCTCCTTCCTTTGTTCTTAGCCTTAACAATGGTAGTGTATGAAAAGCCATAGTTAGGCACATAGAAAATTAAAACAATCTGACAAAAATTATCTGGGCGTGGTGGATAAAATTTTTTGAACTGGTAAAATTTTTTTCTATAAATGTTCATTTAGGAACTTTTCACATTTTAAACTCTTCCCTTTCCTAGGCTTACAACCTATTTAGATGTACAGCGGTGCCTGGAGTATTTGGGCTATCTAGGCTATTCAATATTGACTGAACAGGAGTCTCAAGCTTCAGCCATTACGGGCAAGTATCTGGATACTATTTAGCTCATGATTAAAAACATTTTTTAAGACTCTCGGTTTCAAACGTAACAAATAGTAAAAATAAACTCATCTTTGTTAGTCTTCTATGTCTATACTTTCTTAGTTTTCCTCATGATTTTGTAATTTCTTTTGAATTGAGATGCTCGATTTTATTGTACATCAGAAGAGAAAGAGTAGAGATTTTGTTTCTAATCTACTTCCTGGTGGTATTCCATTGATGAAAATAAGGGAGAGCTATGGGCATTAAAGGATTTACCAGTCTATCATGCATTTTAATTTTCTTTAAACACTAAAAACAATGCCTATTAACACATGATCTTGATCTTGAACTAATTGTACATCTCTCAGATTTGTAACCTTTTTCCATATTAACAAATGTTTCACAGATCTTGTAATGTAAACCAGGCATTTTGCCAAGCAATGTGCTGCACTTAAAGAAAACCCATAGATATGGAATAACAAAGGACCTGATCATTTCAAGAATTTCTTATATCCCAATTGTTGAAAAATCTGTTGTATCTTACCAAAAACCCTAGCACAAGAAGACAGCTTTTCTTAAATTGACAGAACAAGTACCATTTAAAGTACTTAACCAATTAGACAGTATTAATTTCAGCAGCAGAGAGTAAGAAATTAATTGCTAGCCAGCCGTGAGGTTCTTTCACTCAACGTATTGTGGACATCTTTCTATATCACTATGTACACCTTTATATATCTTTAATGTTAAATAATGTCTCATTATGTGGTTGTTCTATAACATTCTTGTCATAATTATTGCATATTTTTATCATTTTCAGTTTTTTGCTACTATTGAAGTGCCTCTAGTGAGGAATGTCGTAGTTGAAACTTTGGGTACAGGTTAAGGATGTCTCCTTACCTCAGGAAGAGATGCCTCATTGTTCTGATGATACAGCATTGTTTTCTGGCCTGCCTCGTTTTACAGAGTTATAGTTGAAAGGCCAGTTAACCCCAGAATGCATATAGCTTTCCCATATATAGATCCAGCTCCAAAAAAGTGCATATTTGAAATAGCAACTTTTAGTTCATGATTTATGACTATAATCTATCACAGAAAATATTAGATGGGATACAGTGTTGGCAGCATTCATTGTAATTTTCATTCCCTTGTGGGATATCATTTTCCTTATGAAAATATACTATTTATTTTATTATGAATTAAATATTTGGGTACTAGAAATTCACTTTACAGTCAACTTTCAGAAATTCATCTTTACCACTAAGTGAGGTCCCTCTGCATTACAATTAGTACTTTATTCACATACAGCTTGACTATTGCAGTGTGTGTTTATAAATCAAACACTTCATAATAGTGATAAACAGCAGTACCCTATTTTGCAGCAGGTGGGATGGAGGCTCAGTAACTCTAAGTGATACATATTTGTGTTTTGTTTTGTTTTTTCTTTTTAGTAACAAGAGATAAAAAGATAGACCTACAGAAAAAACAGACTCAAAGAAATGTGTTCAGATGTAATGTAATTGGAATGAAGAACTGTGGGAAAAGTGGAGTTCTTCAGGCTCTTCTTGGAAGAAACTTAGCGGTGAGAGTTCTTGGAAAGTAGAACTTTATACACAAATTTTTATAGTCCTGAGTTTACATAATTTTTT